GATATTAGTCAATCACAATAGGATAAATGTTGTATGAAGCCATTATTGTAAAAGCTTAAGAAAAGGTTTCCATACTAAAAGAAACGTCTTTGATTGTTACCAGGGGTGGGGGGAGTGGAGAATAATTCACAGGCTAGAGGGTAGATAAAGCACTGGACCACACATGTTAGTTTGGGTGATTGGGGGGGGGGCAACACATAAGAGAGGGAGGGTGGGAAATGAATAATGAAGACAAAGGAAGACTTAGGGAGGTATGCAAGGGCTAAATGTGATGAAGTAAATCATGTTTTATATACAACTTAGGAACAACAGTGTTCTGTGACTAGATAAATGGATCAAGACATAGACTGAATAGGTAAAGATGGGGGAAAATATTTATGTGCTTGACTGTCTTATAGATATTTGGTTTTCACTAACTACTACTGTAAAATAGACATTTATGTGTGATAGAAATGAGTATCAAAAATTACGATTACAGGAAGCTTGTAAGCCTGTCTTCAGCCTATAACTGATTGGATTTGCTAACAGAAGAATTTTTTTCAGGGAAATAGGCTTCTTGTTAAGCCTCTGTAGAATACAGGAACTTAAGTAGAATTCTGAACCCCACCCAGAATCTTTTGAGTTGTGACATTCCACTTGAAAGCTATGCAGACCACACCAGAACTGCTCAGAGAACAGAAGATTCTTATTGAAAGAAAGTCCTGCAGATAAAAAACAGACTGTTTGGCTGGTTGAATTTTAAGCAAGCTCTTTGCTTTGGAGGCATCAAGACAAGAAAAGTCAGCCCATCAGAGATAACACTATTCTAGTATTGAAACTCAAAGGGAACTTATGAGTAGTATAATATGCTTGCTAGTGACCACCTGGGTCTACTTGTGACTGGAACTGGGGGAAATGCATCAATGAAGACATGGGCTGAGTTTGGTCATGTTCCACTGACATCCGTTGACCTTCGGATGAGAGAAAGAAGAGGAAGGGGCTGGCTGGTGTGAAGTTTAGGGAGATGTGCTAACTCCCAAACCCATGGGCACTGACCTAGTCCCTGGGTTTAGAGCTGAGAGTGAAGTGGCCAGCTGGTCTGAAGTGCAAGGAGGTGTATGTGCACTCTCAAACTTGCAGTTAGTACCCATTAGACCTATCTTGGTGGCTAATTGACCAGAACATGACCAGATGAAGATCAACATGCTTGATAATGTGAGCAAGTATCAATTGCTACAATTCGATGAACTGAACTTTTGCTTATGGAGGCAGTTGCTTAATATTCCAACAGGAATGGGAGGATTCTTCATATCCAGAAACAAGCTTGTTTCCTCAGTGTACTGGGTGGAATAGTTTTCCTGCTCTGGAGAAAGGGGCTGGGAGATGATGGTGAGGATTTTATGACTCAATTGTGAGTAAGTGTCGGCAGGGATAATTTTGATGGTCACAACTGTAACTGTAGAAGATGTGTAAATAAAAGGGGAGAGTAGTTAATCTTTCATTTCAGGAACAAATGATCCTAGGACCAGCGAGAAGGAAGAGCATGAATGGAGTGTGAGATCCTACCTATGAAAGTGGTGACAGCAGAAATGGTGGCAGAGGCAGTGGCATGGAGAGACAGAGCAGCAGACGGCTCTAGGCCCATGGGCTGAGTAAGGCTGTGTGTCTGCGGGCAGGAAGTTGGCTTGCAGAATGTGCCCTTTAGACATTTAAATGAATACATATTTTCTGTTTTGTATGCGTACATCAAATATTTTTGCTGCTTTGTTCATTTGTGAAATGTAAGATGTAAAAGGGAAGCCACAAGGAGGAAGTAAGGTAACTTCTGTTGCAGGGAGGGGATTGCAATCATTGAGATGAACAGAGTATATAATTTGTTGAACTGAATGTTAAGCTGATGATCTTGTCTGTAAACCTTCACTCAATTCACAATAAAAAGTTAAAAAAAAAAAAAAAAAGACAAAATCAACTTGCATAGTAAGCTTTTCACCCAAATCACAATAAAAACTCTTTAAAAAAGAATGCCTTGTTCAACATGTCCCAGTCGATTAGGAAATAGATTTTATAATATTAATAAGGATTATAGCTTAGTAAGTCCCTTGTAATTTTTTTGTCATGTTCCCCTTTTGCCTGTAGTGTTTACTCCACCCAGTGACAACCTTGCTCTCTTCTTGCAGTTTGGAACAAAACAAAACTCCTCACCACTACACCAATAAATAACATTATGGTAAATGGAGAAACAACTGAAGTTGTCAAAGATTTCATTTGGCTAGTATCCACTATCACCACTCTGGAGCAGCAGTCTAAGCTTTATATGTATGTGAAAGTTGGACAATGAATAAGTAAAACCGTAAAACAATTGATACATTTGAGTTATGGTGTTGGAGAATATTAAAGGTACCATGGACTACCAGAAGAACAAATCTTTGTTGGGAGACATACAACCAGAATGCTCCTTAGAAGCCAGAATGGCCAGACTTTGTGTCTCATACTTCAGACGTAGTATCAGGAGGGACCAATCCCTGGAGAAGGACATCATGCATGGTAAAGTGGAGGGTCAGTGAAAAAGAGGTAGATCCCCCACTGAAATGGATTAGCACAGTGGCCGCAACAAGGGACTCAAGCTTCATGATTGTGAGGATGGCCTAGGACCAGGCTCTGTTTTGTTCTGTTGTGCATAAGGGATTACTATGAGTTGAAACTGACTTGCAGTCACCTAACAATAGCAACATAGGGTTTCTGGGGAGCAAGCGGCTAGTGGGCTTGAACTGCTAATCTGTTTGTTAAAAATCCAGTGCTTATCATACAGTACTACCAGTGTAAGTGAAGTGAAAGGTAATTCACAATGTGGAGAAAATCAGCACAAAGCTGTTGGATAAGTACTGGACTGCTAACTTCAAGGTTGGCAGTTCAAAGCCACCGGTCACTCCTCAGAAACCCCATACAAGGTTGCTGTGAGTACGTACTGACTTGATGGCACCTAACAAGAACATAGTACTCCCAAATGATGAATGAAGGAGCCATGGTAGCACAATAATTAAGCATTAGGCTACTAATCAAACGGTGGAGGTTCAAATCCACCTAGTGACTCTGAGAGAAAGACTTACGTTCATTTTGACAAACAGCATAGCCCAGAGAACCGTCTAGGACAGTTCTACTCTGTCACATTAAGTCACTGTGATTCCGAATCATTTCAACAGCACCCAACAATGAGGAACGGTGCTGAGCATCTTCTCAGGAATTTACAGGTCGTTTGTCTATCTTCTTTGGAGAACCGTTTACTCAAGTCCTTTGCCCAAAACAAAATTAGGTTGTTTGTTTTGTGTTCATGGTGAGTTATAGAAATTCTTTACAGATTCTGGATGTTAAACCCTTGTCAAATGTATATTTCCAAATACTTTCTCCTATTCTGTAGGCTGCCTCTTCACATGCTTGACAACAAATGTCCTTTGATGCACACAAGCCTTTAATTTTGATCTATTTTAAATTTTTGATCTATTTTTTTTTTTTTTTTTTGCTGCTGTATATAAGAATTCATTACCAAATATAAGGTCCTAAAGATTTACCCACTTTCATGTATGTCTTATAGTTTTAACTCATATTTAGTTCATCACTTCATTTTGAGTTGCTTTTCATAATAGGTGTAAGATAAGGTCTTACTCCATTCTTCTACCCGTAGAAATCCACCCCTTTTTCTTGTGGAGTCTAATGTTTCCCTATTGGATGGACTTGGCAACCTTGTCTAAAATAAACTGGCCATAGAGCTATGGGCTTTTTTCTGGACACTCATTCTTCTCTTTCCTTTCATTAGTTTTGAGTTTAGTTTGCTCTTCTTTTTCTAGTTCCTCAAGTTATAAAGTTAGGCTACTGATTTAAGGTTTTCTTTTTTAATGTATTTACAGCTATACATTTCTCTGTGAGCACTGCCTTTACTACACCTATAAGTTTTGGTATATTGGATTTTTACACTCACTCTTCTCTCTAAGTGTTTTCTAAGTTCCCTTGTGATTTCTTCTCTGACCGATTGGTTGTTTACTAGTGTGTCAATTTTCACACTTACGTGAGTTTTCCACTTTTCCTTCTGTTAATGATTTCTAGTTGCATTCCATTGTGGTTGGAGAGTATATTTTGTATGATTTCAGTCTTTGTAAGCTTATTGAGACTTGTTTTGTGACTTAACATATGGTTGATCCTGAAGAATGATTCATGTGCATTTGAGAATTGTTGCTGGGTGGAGTATTCTATATATGATTAAAAGTCATTCTTAACATAACTGAGAAAATGGGAATATGGATTTATACATTAAGTATGACAATAATTGTGGTTTGCAAGAAAATGTACTTATGCTTAAGCGATGCATACTGAAACAATTAGGTTAGGGGTAATGTATTATGATGGCTACAACTTTATTTTAAGTGGTTCTTTCAAAAATAAAAAGACAGAAAGAAAATATAGCAACAATGCCAAAAATTTGTGAATTTCAGTGGAAAGCATATGAGTGATTGTTCATTGTATAATTCCTTCCACTTTCTGTAGACTTGAAATTTTTCCAAGTAAAAAGTTTGGGGTAAAATAGGTTATTGAATTGATGACACCTTAAAATATGTAAAACGTTGAATTTTGTTATGAAAGTTTTACCTCAAAAAAAGAAGATGATGAAGGAAAAAGCTATCTCGAACCCCATGTAGCTACTACAGAACTACTTAGGAAGCTCAAACACCATAAAAATATGATGTGAGTAGCATCCCCTTTCCTTGAGTTATGTAATATATGGTACTGGGGATTTAGACTCCCTTCTTCCAGCAGTGCTCTCTGAGATTCATTCTGAGGTAGAATTCAAGGGATACATACGTTCTCTATGCACAATTGAAAGTAATTATGATGGCAAATTCGATGATAAATTTAGTCTTATACAATTGCCATTTTGATTTTAGAGTGCTGAAGAGGAAGGAAGGCATAATGATTTGGCCAAAAGTCAATTATGACCTCAATTGGTTATGAACAAAAGCAAAGCAACAGACCTGGGTTGATGGACGGAGGCAGTGGAGGTGGGAGTGGCCGACCTTCTTTAATGGCTAATGTATACTGTTTTGCTGATTGAATGGCATTGATAAAGTCTTCATGTTGTTGTCTCCAGTTAGATTTCCTCACAGGTTGAGACTGTAAAAAATAAAACCAACATGCAATACTAACCTAGACTATAAAACTTTCCATTACAGTTTGTGTGCATATGTGTTTATGCTTGGATTTCAATTTTACAGGAAACAGTACTATGAAATTTGGAGAAAGAGAAAAAATTATCAAAAGAATTAAACAGGTTGGAAAATACAGTAATAAAAATGTGCAAGTAACAGTAGTAAAGGGAATATGAAAATTAGAAAAACAAAGAAAATCACAAAACTTCAAAGGAAAATTTAATATAAGGTGAACAGTGACTTTCTGCCAAGTTAATTAATAAATATGACACTCTAATGACAATATATACAGGATTATTTTTTGCCATGTCCAAATAGTATCTGAAATACATTGGGAAATATAAGTGTGCAAGATTATAAAGAAAACAACAAAGATAGATTATACTTATATGATGTTATACTTTCCTACTGTCTTAGACTGGGTTCTCTAGAGAAGCAAAACCAGTGAAGCTTTTATGTATATATGTAAAAAGTTTACACCAAGGAAATGGCTCAAACAGTTGTAGAGATGGGCAAGTCCCAAGTTCATGGGGATGAGCCAAGATTGAAAGGTCACACAGAAGGCAGGTTATTCTGGTAGGTAAGATGGCAGCCTGCTCATGACTCCTAAGATCAGCAGACCGTGTAAAAATGGTCAGAAGTTCGAGGCCCACTGGGCCTGAGTGTTGCAGACAATGCAGGCCACAGGCTCTCAGGAACAGATTCTGGCCACCAGGCAGTCATAGCAAATTGTTTTTCATCTTAGTGTTCAGTTATGTTTTTTATGTAATTCCAAACATGAGCCCTTAATATCCACAGATAAATGTAATATTTTCCTAAAGCTGAGACTGTAAAGGTTTCAAGGTTAAGCCTTTCTCCAAAGGATTAACTAAAAATAGCTTAGCTACTTCCCAGTTATTTGTTCTATAGACAAAAGGACAACCTCCCTAAACCTGTCCCAGGTGCAGGCTATTCAGCCAAAGTTCCTGAAAATTTGCTCAGGAAGCCAAAACAGCGGGATTCCTCCCAAGCCTTTTGTCCTTCCCTTTCACCTTCCCCCAGCTAAGCTCAGGGGCTATAGATATGTTAATTGAATCTGAGAAACCAAGTTGCGGGCCTGGGATTTGAACCAGCGAAGCTTGATGTAAAGTTACCTGAATGTCTGGAAAATTACTGATGTTAGCTGTACTTTGTCTTAGTCCCTCCCAGCTTGGTGTGAAGCTCCTCCCCTAAATAAAACAGTGGCACAGGCGGGCCCAGGTGTGCATTATGGCTTGCAGGCTGGGCATTACAGCTGGCTAGGTGTGCCTTACAGCTTGGAGGGCAGTGAGTTGCTGCCTGCAGAGGCCACAATGCCTGTAGTCCCAAGTCTGCCCACTAGTGATGCATCCACCCTGGTTTTCGGGTGTCTCTTTGTCTCCCTCTTCGTGCCTTTCTGTGTATTCTTTTGCTATCCCTATCGCCGCCGGATATCCCCTCCTCATGAACCAAACACTCGTGAACAACACAACTATGTCGAGGTCCGTCCCCGACACAATAGAGCAGGCTGATGGCTCAAGTCTGGGTTATGAGCCATATGCAGAATCCAGACCCAACAGAAAAACAAAGCAAGCTTTGAAAGAGTATCCAACAGATTGGAAGTAGGCCACACAGCCAATGAAACATCCTTTCAAATTGATTTGCTGCTCACAGAAGACCTCATCATGAAGTTGATTACATTATATTACATTCATCATGGGTATTACTACATCTAACTGCCAAACCACTGGAATCTTGGCCCAGTCAAGTTGACATATACCCTTAACTATCAAAGTTCACACCTTGTCAACTTGGCACTGTACTTATCTCCTTAAACCATACGTAATTTCTAAATAAAGACAATTATAACGTCGTACTTGCACCTAACATGATATAACTAACACACATACAACCCACTTACAACCTGTATTTTATAAGTGAACATAACAAAAATATTTGATGCACAGCTATAAGGAAAAATGCCCTTAACAATCATAGTCCTCAGTTTTCCAACTGGTCATATGCTATAGCTGGTATTTAGAACTACCTTCTTCCACCACCCATTCTGTCCACTTTGCCCTTGGCAAATGCCTCAGCTGACTGTTGCTCTTTTCCTGGAGGAGTGACCCAAACTTTTATTCCTGAAGGGTCTGGGCTATTGGCAGCCATGTCAGAGTTGAACTGCTATAGTTTACCATTGACTTTAATAACAGGCCATGGTAGTACTGAGAGATGTCCACAGGCATCTCCTGGATTCCACACATATTCTTCTTATGTCCAATAAGCAATGCCAATCTAATTTCTCCTTAATAATCAGGGTCAATCATACTACCCAATATACTCTCTTCTTTGCCTATTGACCCAGAGGTATGAGGAGCCCAAAGTGGCCAGGGGGCATTCTCAACTTCCAGTTCAATAGAATCAATGTTGCATCTTGAGGAGGATGTATTTATCTTTAGAATTAAAACATCCAGACCTAAAGGGTAAAGGGTCACAGGGACAGGAAGTGAAAATTGGTGAGTGGGTCACTAGGAGTAACAGTGAGTGGTTCCATTCCTATTTCTGTCCCTTGGTTCCTGGACCATTGGTTCCTGGCTACTAGACAAACAGTGCCATGTATTGGACACTGGTTTACAGCACACAGAGCCTCCTGGAGAACATTGCCTCAATCCTGCAAGCTATTGCCACCTAGCTGGCACTGTAATTGTCTCTAGAAGGTGATCCCATTGTTCTATCAAGCCAGGTGCTTCAGGATGATGAGAAACATGGTAAGACAAATGAATTCTATGAGCATGGATGGGCCCATTGCTCTATTTCATTTTCTGTTAAGTATGTCACTTGATCTGGGGCAATGTTACTTGCAATACCATGATGGTGGATGAAGCATTCGGTAAGTCCAGAAATGGCACTTTTTGCAGAAGCACTGTGTGCAGGGAAGGTAAATCCATAACTGGAGGAAGTGTCTGTTCCATTAAGAACAAAATACATCCCTTTCCAAGATGGAAGTAGTCCAATGTAATCAGCCTGCCAGCAGGTTGCTAGCTGATCTCCCTGAGGAATGCTATCATATTGTGGACTCAGTGTTGGTTCTGATGCTCGCAGATTGAGCAATCAGCCTCGATGAGTGGAAGTCCAGAGCATAATCTCCGGCTGTGCCATCATGACCACTTTTTTCATGAGCCCACTGGGCAATGACAGGAGTAGCTGGAGAAAGGAGATGATTAGTTTCCACAGAACATGGCATCCTATCCACTTGATTGTTAAAATTCTCCTCTGTCGAGGTAACCCTGTGGTGAGCATTCACATGAGGCACAAATATCTTCAATTTTTTTACCTATTCAGAGAGGTCTACCCACATACCTCTTCCCCACACCTTCTTGTCACCAGTTTTCCAATCATGTTCATTTCAAGTCCCTGACCATCCAGGCAAACCACAGGCCACAAGCTATGGATAAGCACACAGTTGCACATCTGGCATTTTGTCCTTCCAAGAAAAATGAGCAACCAGATGCACTGCTCCAATTTCTGCTCATTGGGAGGATTTCCCTCCATTACTGTTCTTCAGAGAAGTCCCAGAAATGGGCTATAGTGCTGCTGCTGTCTGTATACTTTAAAGTATTACCTGCATATTGTGCAGAACTAACAAACATAAATGTTCTCTTCCTCAGTCAACTGACCATAAAGAAATTCCTGAGGCTTGAAAGCCCATCTTCAGCCTTTAACTGACTGGAATACCTAAAAGGGGTTCTAGAATTTGCCCAGTGAAACAGGCTTCTTGCAGAGCCTTTGTAGTGTATAGGACCTTAGGTGGAATCCTGAGCCCCATCCAGGAACTTCTGAGGTGGGACATTCCCACTTAAAAGGACATGCAAACCAGCCCAGAGCAGCTAGAAGAACAGAAGATACTTCTTGAAAGAAAGATCAGCAGGAAAAATCAAGAACAAAAATGGAAGGCCTGTTTGGCTATTACAAGAACAAGCAAGCTATCTGCCTGGGAGCCATCAAAGCAAGCAAACAAGTCCCTTCAGGACAAACCCCTTCCCAGGACTGAAACTCGAAGCGAACACACGAACAGGCATGCAAACTTGCTGGTGACCCTGCTGGTCTACTTGTGAGTGAAAGTGGGGGAAAGGCAATAAATGAAGACATGCACTGAGTTTAACCATGTTCCCTAGACTCCCATCCACCTTGAGATGAGAGAGAGAAGAGGAAACGCTGGTTGGTCCAAAGTTTGGGGAAACTTGGGAACTCCTAAGCCCATGGGCACTGACCTAGCTTGGATGACATGATGATCAGAACTTGACTAGAGGAAGATAAAGAAGTTTGATACAAGAAGCAAGTGTAAATTGCTACAATTTGATGAACTTGAACCTATACCTATGAATATCGTAGCTCAAAATACCGAGAGGGAAAAAGTTATCTCATCAAGGATCAAGACTATCCCCCAAGTACATAGGGTTAATTGGAATGGGCAACTTAGACACTGACAACCTAAAATGGGGAGGGGGGCTTAAAGGCATGAAGTGGTTGGCTTATAAGCTTTCATGAGGGAGTTTAGTTTCAGAGTGAGTTTTAATCTTGTCAAGATGGGTCTGGTAAAAGGAGATGGGGATAGGGTTTCTTTTGTTTCAATAGTGAGTAAATGTTATCATGACTAATTCTGATTGTCACACTTTAAATGTAGAAGTTGTATAACAAAAAGGGGGGAGTAGTTAATCTTACATTCTAGGAACAGAGGCCCTTAGGACCAACAAGAGGAAAGAGCATGAGCAGAACGTGGGATTCTAACCAGAGAAGCAACAACACCAGAGATAGAGGCACAGGTGATGGCATAGAGAGATAAAGCAGCTGCAGACTCCAGACTCATGGAAAGAGAAAGGCTGTGTGCTGGCGGGGAGGAGGCTGGCTTGCAAAATGTGCCTTTTGGTTGTTTACATGATTATATATTCCTGTGTGGTTTTGTGTACATAAAAAAAAAAGGTAATAGAGGTAAATGCTGTTAACCAATGGTGCATGGAGGGGATTGTAATCATTGCAATGAAACAAAATACAATTGTTTAAGTGCAAAACTGATGTTCTCCCATGTAAACTATCACTCAATTCACAATAAAAGCTTAAAAAAAAAGTATCTGTGCTTGTTGTTATGTACCGTAGAGTCAATTTTGAACCATAGCGAACCTATGGGTTTCCAAAGAGCAGTTGGTGAGCTTGAATCACCGACCTTGCAGTTCAAACAACTTTCCAGTCTGATGCATTAGCCCACAGTGCCACACCAGGACTCCATCTGTGCTTAGTGGACCCATATTAATAAACTGAAACCAATCCAATTTTATGTTCCTTGCACCATTACTCTATATCCCTAATCACCATTCCCACACATAATTTCCCAGCTTCTGTTTGTACATATTAGAAAATTCAAGTCATTCTTTTGGAGTGTAGTATACCTCTTCCGGTGTCACAAAGTGGAATTGCTTTTTGGGGATGGCTGGGATTTCAGTCTGGTTATTGGTCTAGAAGCAATAATGGGTGGTGGCTATGTTTCCTGGGAATATTCAACAATTTGTAGTCAATTCATCAAATTGACTACATCTGTGGAAAGAGATGGTGGAAAAGCTTCATATCATCAGTCAAAACAAGGCCAGGGGCAGATTGTGAAACAGACCATCAATTGCTCATATGCAAATTCAGACTTAAGCTGAAGAAAACGAAAACAAGTCCACAAGAGCCAAAATATGACCTTGAATATATCCCACCTGAATTCAGAGGTCATCTGAAGAACAGATTTGATACATTAGACACTAAAGACCAAAGACCACAAGAGTTGTGGGATGACATCAAGAACATCATTCAGGAAGAAAGCAAAAAGTCATTAAGACAAGAAAGAAGGAAAAGACCAAAACCAGAAAGAAGAGACTCTGATACTTGCTCTCCAGCATATGGAAGAAATGAAGAGATACAAAAGTTAGACAGAAAATTTCAAAGTTCAGCTCAAAAAGACATAGTCAAATATTATAACAAAATGTGCAAAGACCTGGAGTTAGAAAACCAAAAAAGAATACACTCAGCATTTCTCAAGCTGAAGGAACTGCAGAAAAAATTCATGCCTCGGCTTTTGTTATTGAAGGATTCTCTGGGCAAATTGCTGAATGACGCAGAAAGCAGCAAAAGAAGATGGAAGGTGTACACAGAGTCACTGTACCAAAAAGAAACTCGCAAAGTGGCCCGTCAACACGCTCAAGCGTGGCCACAACTGTGAGGTTGACCCAGGACCAGGCAGGGTTTGTTCTCACAGGGTCACTGTGACTCATAAGGGTCACTCTGAGTCAGTACTGACTCGATGGCACCTAACAACAACAACAACTACAAGAAAAAGGCTTTCTTTCAGGGCACAAGGAGAAAATTTGAGGTCGTTTATATGGTGCTTAAGTTGTGACTCTTAAGCCCTGAGTCCATCTCTTTCCTTTACCACTTGGTTCATTATAAGTAGGGCCAGCTTCTCTGTATTTCTCATCCTGACAAAAGTGCTGAAAAGTATCAAATACACAATCACCCAGAGCCTCACTTCTCTCCAATATGTGACCCAGAGATGGTATTTACATTGCCACCTCTCACCGTGGATTAGCAGCACCCTAACTCTGTTGGCTCTAGTACATTACATACTAGAGCAGACAGAGTTGTCAGTGCCTTTAATATTGGGCAGATTTGAAAACCAATTTAGAAAAGTCATCATTATGATTTTGCTTCTCTAGAACCATCCTTAGTAAATACCAAATGTCTAAGGCTGGGTTCTCTAGAGAAGCGAAACCAGTGAAATTTACTAAGAGAAGCTTCTATCAAGGAAATAAACGGTTTGCACAGTTGTAGAGGTAGGCAAGTACCAAGTTCATGGGTCAGGTGAAGCAAGATTGGCAGGTCAGGAAGCAGGCAGGCTGGTAGGGCAGGTAAGATGTCAGACTGCTGATGACCCCTAGGATTGGCAGGCAATAAAGCAGGCCAGTGGCTTAAGTCTGGAATGACAAGCCCAATGCAGGATTCAGACTCAGCAAAAAGCAAGCAAGTTTTGCCAGAGTGTCCAATATATTGTAAGTAGGCCACACCTCCAAGGCAACTCCTTTTCAATTGATTGGCTGCTCTCTCATCAAGGAGTTGATTACATTATATTAGATCTCATCATGAGAGATCGCCATGTCTTAACTGCCACACAGCTGAGAATCCTGGCCTAGTCAAGTGGACATAACATCTTAACACAACTATCAAACAATTAATTACACCAACCAGAAAGCCAGGAGATAGGCTTTCATGTACTTTAAAACAATTGACAAAGAAAACAGGAAAATAGCAATAGTACCTTGGATGGAGGAACCATCCTCATAGTAGGAAGGTCAGTGCCCTGGAATCTTTGCTTCAAGGAATTGAAAGGTTTCAGCTTTTTGTTGAAGAGTTTTCTACATATCGGTCCGTGCCTTCCCTAGAAAAGGCGGGCAGGGGTTGGTACATTTAAAATGCACAATCACAAAGTTTTTGATGCCCAGGTCTACTTCTACAGCACCCTCTACCCAGTGGTGGTTGCACCTTAGATCCTAATTCATTCTCCAGCTCTCAAGTCTCAGCAGAGCAAATCCATTTGGCTTTCCTCACTAGATTTTGTGTTTAGGCAAGAACAAGGAAAAGGACTCTACAGTGAAGAGACTTATTTCAAATTTGGTTTCATGTACGTAACTCCACCACTTGGGCAGGGCTCTGTTTACTCCAATCTGTTGTCCTTTAAGTACACAGCATTTCTAGTACAAAAACTGGGACACCAACATATAGTTTTACGTGTATCCCTCTGTAAGGTCTGTGAGTCCGCAACTATGGGATTATAGCAGTATCTTTGCTTCCAATCTGAGTATTCTTAGTGGTTATGTAACACATAATTGCTATCATTTACACAGTTGCTTTGTTCAGACTTCATAAAATACAGGCTCTACAGAAATCACTGAGCCTGGCTAATAATAAGTGCTACCATTTTAAACTAAAGAACAGAGTGATATCAGATCACTTGATCAAACATTCTCTAGGCTAGAAAGAGGCCTAGAATGTGGAACTGGAGACTACGTAAGACACACTTGACATTTAGTGAGTTGTCTTGAAATGGTGCCCTCTGAGCCTCAAACCCATTCTCGGGGCTAACAAAAACAATGGCAGCTAACAGAAGACAACAGATTGGTAAGAAGCCTGTGAGCCCCACCCTTAACTTCAGGAACTGCTAACCTCAGTCAATTAGATGAACAGATATTTCATTTTTCAAATTCACAGGGAAATAAAAACTTTTAGACTTTCTTAAGTGAATATAAGTCTTGTTCTAGAATGTCCCAACTAACAATTGCATCATCAAGTTAGATTTCTTAGGAAATCTTTTTATAACGTTGGAGCCTAACACATGCTTGAATCTCTAATATTGAAATAAGTCAAGCTTTTACTTCAATGTCATAGCTATTTATGTGGGGCTTGACATGTAGCAAGCTTGAATCTGGATAACAATTAGACCCCATAACAAGTCTTACATCCATGTGTTATTTTGTCCAAATTGTATCAAACCCCCAAAATGGGAGGTTTCTGTCTTTATACATGGCTGAACAAAAAACAGGGGGAGGTTAAAGTACTTGTGAGAATTAGTGATAAAGTTGTGGCTAAAAGCCAAGTTTCCAGATGTGCAAAATCCAATGCTCATCTCTCTTGACTCATTAATTTCCCTGGTGCTTTGCCCTTGACATTTGAATTTCTGATGCTTATAGGAAAGGCCAAAGAGCCAACACCTCTCAAGGGATCATTGGCTGTGCCAAGACACTTCCATCTGGCATCCTTTTAGGAAGAGGACCGTGTTTAATTGGCGCTCTTTTGAATGAGGCCGCATCAATCTGCCTGTGCGTCTGCTGGGCCGGCCAGCTATAGGTTATGCACTTCCCCCCTTCTCTTGCTTCCCCTCCACATCTGTCTTCAATCTTTGCCTCTGCTGCCTCCTCACTGACTTTCCAGTTCATTTAACTCCAATGAAACACGTCCACAAAATGTCTGTTGACCAGAACATCTGCTGCAAAGCGTCTTCCACAGACTTCACAGGGAAACAGTTCCTGATTGCCATCTGCAGAAGATTCAAGAGCACATTATATTTGTGTTCCAGGATTGCCTGCCCCTGAAAACAATGACTGACTGGAGGAGACCCCTATAGCCTGACTCCTCACTCCCCCTTCTTCCCCACCAACTACTTCCTCCTCTTAGGAAGATTCTTTGTAAACTCACCTGTGTTTTCCTTTCCTAAAATAAACATCACACTTCACTAAACAAATTAATTCCATATTCTTCAGGCAACTGGAGCATAATTATTTGCTATGATACTTAATATATTCTTAAACTAAGTGTCTGACAGCGTTGCTTTAAATTTAAGTACAGAGTTAATGCCTTTGTATTTAGTATAACCATAGAATAAAGTCACAAATAATCCAACGGTAATATTTTCAAAGAATGTAGAGGCTGAGACTATGTTTACTATATCCCCAGTGCCTCAAACTGCCTAGCTTGTGGTAAAGTGCTCAATGAATACTTGTGGAATGGATAGGCCAAACAAGTGTTGAATTTCTACTAGAGATCCAATCATTCCTTCAATAAATAATTACACATTTGCTATATGCATGGCTGTGAAAATACTGAAAGAAACAGTACTGGAATCCAGCATAATCAAGGAGAGGAAGCATGTACAAAAGTAACTTTAAGGTTGGAAAATGTCACAAGAAAATAACAACATTATAGAATTCTGAAAAAGAGTTTCATTTCTTATTACTTCCTTTCAGTTTCTTTAGAGTTGTGCATGTAAAGATTACAACAGCAGCTAAGGATCGCTCACAGAGAACATTTTATTTTTAATTAATAACCTGGACTTATTCTACAAGCAAGGGGGCCAGTGAAACACATAAATAGAGCTGTGGTTTAGGAAGATTAATGTGACAGAGGTGAGGAGGGAAGAATAGTGGGAGGTGACATGGAGAGGGAGAGTTCAGCAGCTGATGTTGTAAGCTTGAAATGGAGAGAGGAATGGGGAAAACATTATGGTCAAAGAAATGAGACTATAGCTAGATTTGTGGGAAGGCACAGGAAATCGGGGAGAGAAGAGTACGTAAGGACTAGATCCTAACTGTAAGGAGCTCCACTGGTCTAGCGGGTTAGGAGTTCTCTCAGTATTTGCTTTGGTTAATAAAACCTACTCATCATAATTATAACACAGTTGCTTCTTTTTCTAACACAATAATACCAGACTCTCTATCTTCATGAAGATTATGGTAACCTTTGTATAATGCTTTCTTGTTCTCCATTTTTCCTATGTGATCTTATTTGTTCCTTGCAGCAACCCTATAAGACACGGTTGCCATTACTTTTATTTTACAGATACTAAAAATCAGAGGCTCAAAACGAAGTGACTTCTCCAGAACGACAAGGAGTCAGCAGACCCCATTTCTGCTGAGTTAATTTCGAATTCATGATGACCTTACAGGACAGACTAGAATGGCCCAAAGGATTGCCAAGACTGCAATCTTTACAGAAGCAGATTGACACATCTTTCTCTCATGGAGCAACTAGTGGGTTCAAACTACTGACCTTTCAGCTAGCAGTCAAGCGCTTAACCACAGTGCCATCATGGCTCCTTAGTAAGCAGAATAACGAAATTCAAACTTGAGTCTTTATCTCCACAAGTATGAAGATTACTAACTCAACTATCACTACATATAAATTGAACTATGTAAACAAATAAAAACAAAACAAAATACATTGGAATCATGTCGACTCCAACTCACAGTTGCCATATAGGACAGAGTAGACTGCCTCACTGGATTTCCAAGAATGCTGTCTTACCTACCACCACATCCGTCCGATTGTCATACTGGCTTGTGAGTAGCTGTGATGCTTGAAGCAATACAGCTGTATTTTAAATACCAACAGGGTCATCCATAATGGACAGGTTTCAGCTGAGCTTCCAGATTAAGACACCCTAGGAATGAAAGATGGACTACTCCTGGATGTTCAGCCACTGAAAACCTTATGAATAGCAGTGGAACACTGTCAGATAGCAACAGCATCATGTTGACTATTGAAACGTGATGAAGAGCACCAGAATATTGTCAGATATAGTGCCCGAAGATGAACTCCTCAGATTGGAAGGCATTCAAAATGACTGGGGAAGAACTGCCTCCTCTAAGAGTTGACAGTGATGATGTGAATGGAGTAAAGTAGTCGGGACTTTCATTTACTGATGGGGCACAACTCAAAATGAGGAGAAACAGCTGTAAACATTCATTAATAATGGGAACATGAAATGTATGAAGAAAGAATATAGGAAAATTAGAAGTCAAAAATGAAACAAAATGCATAAAGATTAATATTCTAGGCATGGACTGGTATTGATGGTTTTGAATTTGACAAGCACATGGTTTACTATGCTGAGAATGACAAATTAAAGAGAAATGGCATTGCACTCATCTAAAGATTTACCTTGAAGTATAATGCTGTCTGTAATAGGATAATATCCATAGACCTACAAGGAAGACCAGTTGATATCATTATTATGCAAATTTACGCATCAACCACTAAAGCCAGTGATGGTGAAACTGAAGAATTCTACCAACTTTTTCAGTATGAAATTGTTCAAACATGCAATCTAGATGTATCGATATTACTAGTGATTGGAATGCAAAGGGTGGAAACAAAAAGGAAGGACCAGCAGTTGGAAAATATGGCCTTAGTGATAGAAATGATGCTGGAGATCGCATGATAGAATTTTGCAAGACCATTGACTTATTCATTGCAAATACCTCTTTTTTAACAACAAAAAAGATGACTATACACATGGACCTCATGAGATGAAATACACAGAAATCAAACTGACTACATCTGTTGGAAAAAAACAGTGCAAAGGTTCCATATCATCAGCTAGAAGTTTAGCCATAATGCTCTTTAGAAGCCAAGATGACCAGACTTCATTTCTCATACTTCGGACATAGTATCAAGAGGGACCAGTCCTTGGAGAAGGACATCATGCTTGGTAAAGTGGAGGGTCGGTGAAAAAGAGGGAGATCCCTAACAGAATGGACTGGCACAGTGGCAGCAGCAATGGGCCCAAGTGTAACAATGATTGTGAGGTTGGTGCAAGACTGGGCAGTGTTTCATTTTACTGTGCATAAGGTTACTATGAGTCAGATCTGATTCGATGCATCTAATAACAACAACAGCAATATTTATCACAGCACTATTCATAATAGCAAATAGATGAAAACAATACCTATGTCCATCAATGGAAGAATGGGTAACTAAACTAAGGCACATAAACACAATGGAATACTACACAACATTAAAGAATAATGATGAATCCGTGAAACACCTTATGACATGGATGTATCTGGTGGACATTATGCAGAATGAAAATAGTTAATCATAAAAGGACAAATATATGAGACCACTATTGCAAAAAGTCAAGAAAACATTTTCACACTAAAAGAAACATGCTTGGGGTGGCAGGGGGAGGGAAGGGAAGTCACTGAAAATCGGGTAGTTAACTTGGATGAAGGGAAGGCAATACACAATAAAAGGGAGGTTGGCAAACAAATGACGAGGCAAGGGAAGATGCAGGGAGGAGTGCAAGAGTTAAAGGCAACAGAGGTAAATACTGTTATATACACAATCCTGCAATAATGTAATACATGAGTAGATGCTGGTGTGTCACTATAGGATATGCACTGAACTTCTCACTGCAAAGTTGACAGTTCACACCCGCTAGCTGCTCCTTGAAAACCCTTTACAGGGTTGCTATGAGTTGAAACCAACTCAACAGCACTTAACAGCAACAATAATGACATGGGCAGATGCATGGAAAGACATGCAGGCTGAATGGGCGTGGGAGTGTGTCATGGATTTAATTATGTCCCCCACAAAGTAAGTGTTCGCTTGGCTGGACCATGATTCAGTGGTTTGAGAGTTATGTGATGATCCTCCATGAAGTAATTTCATGTGATAAATGAATAAAAGGATTGTGTTTATGTGCCATATTTTATTTACCCATTCTTCCATTTGCTGTTACTTGTTGTTGTTAAGTGCCATTGAGTCGATTCCAACCCATAGCGACCCTGTACAGAGTTTCCAAGGAGCAGCTGGTGAGACTGAACCACCAACCTTGCAGCTCAAACGACTTTCCAGTCTGATGCATTAGCCCACAGCGCCACACCAGGACTTGTTACTAAGTGCTGTCAAATCAGTTCTGACCCTGTGTGGGGCTTCTGAGGATTGGCTGGTGGGTTTGAACTGCTGACTTTGTAGTTAGAAGCCCACTGCTGATGCTGCAGCACCACACCAGGACTCCAAGACTCCAAGGGTGGGATAGACCATCCATAATCTCACCACAATCCTGATCCACTGTATGGGAGATTTCCAAGGGTGTGTGTGACAAGCAACACCTTTTATCTAACTAGAGATAAAAGGAGAGAGATGTGACAAAGAAGGGCACTCTACCCCTAAGAAAGCAGAGTCAGTAGTGGAGTATGTCATTTGGATCTGGAGGCCATGTACTATGAAGCTCTTTGATCCCGGGAATGAATGCTGGGCCTGGAGATACTGAAAGGAACAAGGACCTTTCTCTAGAGCTGGTACTCTGAATTTGGACTTCTACCTTCTAAATTGTGAGTAAATAAACTTCTGTTTTTTAAAGCTATCCACTTGTGCTATTTCTGTTACAGCAGCAGTAGATAACTAAGACAAAGGGAGGATAGGAGTATACACACAAATATGTATCACATGACAGAGGCTATTTGTACAGGGGTATTTACATTTCCTACAAATATATCCATGAATGTGGTAGAACAAACATAAGTTATGAAAGCTTCTTAGATACAGGGAAACACCTTGAGGGAATGTGTCACTGGGGCTAGGGGTTCAGGACCATAGTCTCAGGAAACATTAAGATCAGTTGGCATAACATAGTTCACAACGACAAAGTTCTCATCCTACTTTGGTGAGTAGTGAGCGGGGTCTTAACGTTTGTGAATTGCCATCTAAGGCACATCTATTGGTCTCTCCCAGTGTGGAGGAAAGCAAAGTGATGAAAACTGAAGACATATGGAAACATTTCGTCCAGTGGACTATTGGACCACACGAACATCAGTCTCCATGACCCCAAGACCAGAAAAGTAGATGGTGCCTGTCTACCACTACCAGCTGCTCTAAAAGGGATCACATCCAAAAGTCTTGAATAGAATGAGTAAAACTATGTGGAACAAAATTCAAAATTATAAAAAAGACCTGGTTTATTGTTTGGATAGAGAGTGGTGGAGTCAAGGACCTAAGACCATGGTCCTTAGTCATCTGTCATGTCTGGAAATGAACTCACTTTCATTGCACAATTTTCAATCCAACAATAGATAGATCCATGGGGGAAACAGTAACACTAGTGAGGTACACACACCTTAGAACAACCAACTATTTGAAATCAACAAGACAACATTTACCCAAGGACAAAGTTCAGAAAGGTTAGGAAAGGAGAAATGGAAGCAAGAATCAGAGGGAGGAAGTGGGACAAGTGATGTTGTACTGAGGAGACTGCAATCAATGACACGAAACAAAATGAGCATGAATTGTTGAAACCCTCACCAAACTCACAGTGAAAAAGAGTATGAGAGAATAACAAAATGTTAATGATATCTTTGGGGTCCTGGTGTGGCGCTGTGGGTTAATGTGCTAGACTGCAAAGTTGGTTTGAACCACAAGGTCGGTGGTTCAAGCTCATCAGCCACACCTTGGAAAGCCTATACAGGGTCGTTTTGGGTCAGAACCGACTTGATGGCACTTAACGATATCTTTATATTCACATATTTACAGGTCTGTAAATATATCAATGTGTATGTATATGTTAAGTGCCATTGAGTCGGTTCTGACTTATAGCGACCATATGTACGAAGGTACGAACCACCACCAAGCCCTGCACCATCCTCACAATTGCTACTGTGCTTGTTCCTGTTGCTGCTGCCACTGTGCAAATCCATCTCACTGGGGGTCTCCCTCTTTTCTCTGTCCCTCCGCTTTGTGAAGCACTATGTCTTTCAACAGTGACTAGTTCTTCCTAACATTATGTCCAAAGTATAAGAGACGAAGTCTGGCCATCTTGGTTTCTAAAGGGGAATTCTGGCTAT